CGCAGTGCCCATAACAAAATTCATTCTTCACATGGATGGAAAAAATCCACACATGGATGGAAAAGAACAGAGGGAACATTGCATAGGACCCAAATCGACAGTCCTTACTCATGGAAAGTTTCCTGTGGGGCACTGGACTGGAAATCAGAAGGCACTGTGGTTTATTCCTGGATTAACCAGTACTACATTAACACGTGCCAGAGAACTTAGTGCATACCAGCCAGGTCCACATGGGCCACTCAGTGCATGACACACGAGCATACGCTTGGCTTTACACTCCGCTAGTGCAGCTAATATACTGTGCAGAGACAAGGTCCGTCTCTCGCTGTGGGTACGTCTGCACTGCAGTCAGAGCTAGGGCGGCAGCATGCGCGGACACACCCAAGCTAACGTTGACCCTATGAGCTCCCATAACAAGAGCAGCACAGTGATGGGAACAAGCTCACCCAGCACCTCTCCAAGCATCCTTTTGTGATGCTGCAACTTCACAGCTATAGACTGTAGCTCGTTCTTGGGTCTACACGTGCTGCGGTCAGACCCTGACAGCAGCGCAGACATGCCGGCCTGGGGTCCACTCACCACTCAGGCACCTCCTTGTGGTTGCTCCAGGTATTAGCCCGTCACAGGTTCAATGCCCCCTTCTCTCTGTTCCTCTCCCTGGGGTCTGACTCATCCCTCAGACAGGTCACTATATTCCTCCCTGCTGGGGTATCGACGTCCCTCCATACGAAAATGCCCATGACACTCTGCTTGGGACAAGAAGGGGAACCTGGGCCCACCTTCTACTGCAGGTATCAGTCCTGGGGCCCAGTCTCCAGCAAAGGTCACCCATGCACAGCCACGACATGTTCTTTCCCTGGATTCCTTCCTACTTCTGAGCTCTACCTCCTGGCTCCCCTCTCAGTCTTCTCTTTTCCAAACTAAACAAGCCCAGTTCTTTCAGTCTTCCCACTTCAGTCATGTTTTCTAGACTTTAATCATTTTTGTTGCTCTTCTCTAGACCGTCTCCAATTTCTCCACATCTTTCTTGAAATGCAGCACCCAGAACTGAACACAATACTGCAGCTGAGGTCTAATCAGCGCAGAGTAGAGCGGAAGAATGACGTCTCCTGTCTTGCTCGCAACACGCCTGTGAATGCATCCAAGAATCATGTTTGGTTTTTTTGCAACAGTGTCACCCTATTGACTCAGATTTAGCTTGTGGTCCACTAGATCGCTTTCCACAGTACTCCTTCCTAGACAGTTGCTTCCCATTCTGCATGTGTGAAACAGAGTGTTCCTTCGTAAGTGGAGCACTTTCCATTTGTACTATAATATTGTACTACACTATTGCACTATAGTATACCAGTGAAACTGTCTACTGCAAGAAACTATGGGATTGCTATTAAATTGAGTCTAAACAATCCAGATAGCTGGTTCCAGGAAGAAAACCAGTGAGCCACCTCCAAAGATCTGCTTGAATTAGGAGTAGAAAGAAGGATGCATACGCCTTAACACACAAAGTTTTACACTTCCCTTTTCCTTCCATCAGGAATATTGAAATCCATCCCAGTACCTGTTCACTTAAACAACCCACAAATCTCTGCAGAAAGGGATGCACCAAATATCGGAGGCTCTAATTCAACATGGAAGAGGGAGCTTCTAATTGTACTAGGGATTTATGCACCAAGTTAGTACAATACCATATGGCACTCCCCAATGCAATAGGCTGTTTTCCTAACAGGCTGCATAAGCTGCTAATAGAATACGAGGTCATAACTGGTTTTCTTATTAATGCTTTATATTCTATATTCTGCCTCTGCGTCTGTTCTATTTCACAATTAACCCTTCTGACTGAATATCTTATAAGATATATTGTTAAGTTTGTATCTGCTCTAAGGGCTTTTAAACACACGACTGAATTTTGGAGTCTCAGTCTTTCAGGAAAGCTGTTGTGTCAAGGCTCCTTTCAGTCCCACTCCTGGCTACAGCAGTAACACAACAGCTGTCGCGCAGAGTGGTGATCAGGGCAGAGAAGTCTGTTCTCTCGGGCCTCACTGTAGTGCTGGACGTGCTTTCGGAGGCAGATGCAGAAAATGGAAGTAGCCCAACCCTCTTTTACCCACCAATTGCCAGGAAAACATTCTCTTGTCCTGAGTAAAACCACCCACTGAAGGTATGTCTACACTACAGCGCTAATTCGAACTAACTTAGTTCGAATTAGTTAATTCGAACTAAGCTAATTCGAACTAACGGATCCAGACTAAAAAACTAGTTCGAATTAGCATTTTGCTAATTCGAACTAGCATGTCAACACTGAGTGGACCCTGAACCGGGGTTAAGGCTGGCCGGAAGCAGTGCCGGCAGGGCATCAGAGGAGGACTTAGAGCGTGGAGATGCTGTCTCAGGCTAGCCGAGGGCTGTGCTTAAAGGGTCCCGATCCCCACCCCGGACAGACAGTTCTCAGGGGTACCCCGCTTGCAAAGCAGACCTGGCTTGGAGTGCCCAGAGTGCCCACACTCGGCACATCACAGCACTCGGCCATCAGACCGGCTGCACTTGCCGCAGGCTGCCATCTGGGGAGAGGGGGCAATTGGAGGGCTGCAGGAGAGCTTCCA